GCAGACCTTTCACGAGGAGGCATGCACATTTTTTCCTCCCCTCCAGGCCTTTCCCACCTCCTGTCAGTCTGTCGTACTTGGGAAAAAATGAGATTCCCTTGCCAGGATTTACTAATACCAATACAAAATGCAAAAACACCTGCACTTCTGGATCATTGTCTTGCCGCATGGGATGGCTCAGCCACAAGCAATGCTCAGGGCTTGTGCAGAGTCTCCCATGGTGTGTGGGAGCAAGGCAGCAGGAAGGCAAACCAAAAAGCTGAAAGTAACACCGGAAAAAATAGGGAGAGAAAGATTTTCAGGGTGTTGCAAAACTGAGCCCATGGAAAAAACAACCTGCATGAGAGATACCCCTTACCACGTCTGGTGTGTGGGTTTCCAGCTGAAAACTTCTATGCACTGTCCCCAGGGTTCATGGTGCATACAAACAGTCGGGGATAAAGTGGGCAGCACTTGGATCCTCCAAGGGCATAGCCGGCTCAGCAGGACCAGCCTCAGAAGATACCGCCCCGCGGCCAAGCGCTGGTAATGATCGCGTGCTCTTAGTGCTCCCTGACTGCAAAGTAAAATGAATTCATGGCAGCAGCTTAAATACAGGTGTTTTACTTGTGGGTGAAACAGGTGAAACACGCAGTTACCATGGCTCAGCTGAAGGGTGGTGACTGCTGAAGCCATAGCAATACAGCAGCGTCTGATCAGGTGGCCGTTCCCTACATGCAGCGTCTCCCAAGGCAGATGCTAACGCTGCTGGAGGCGTTCTGCCGGTTTTTATCTTTGTGTGGACACTTTGCACCACATCCATTTTGTAAACGTAATCCAGGTCTATACCCGAGGCCACAGAGTTCTCTGATTAATCCAAGGTGGCTCAACACAGCCTACAGAAGCAATGGTCTAGGAAAGTCCTGCACAAGTGCTGTGTGTTGCATATTCGTGGAGCAGCGAGAGATCGGAACGACTCGTCTGGAGCTTGGCTGGAGCTGAGGTGGACCCAGGGCTGCAGCAGCTGGGTTGAAATAGTTAGGGAACTATTGAAAGGCTCAGCAACACTGGACAGAGTGGTTTGGCTCCTTGTAAAGATAGAGGCCAGAAGGAAACTTCAGATCCTCCTCCAGATCCAGATTTTTCCAAAACTCAAGCGTGCTTACATCTGAAGGTCTGGCTTGGCCTTTTTTCTGCTGCTAACAGCATTCAGTGTGAAATGTACAGCATGCCAGGGAGCGCTAATGCCTTGCAGACCTGGGTTGTGTCATTCCCCAGTGTTATTTATATAAAACTATTTAAAAACACAGGGTAAAACTTGTAGAAGTGTCTATGTGGAAGATTCATTTTATCTAATTTTATCCACCTACAAGCTGCATGCCTTACACTAGACACCCAACTTAGAGATGAAGTCTTCAAGGCTCCTTCGCAGTCAAAGGGCAGAGACAAGCCTCTCTAGCAGCTAACGTGTCTCTCCCACCCCTGGACACCCATCCTGGGAAGAGAAAAATCACCTTCTAGTCATGCGTCCCTCTCCACCAGCCACTGACACATCTGAGAAGCTGCTTCAGCTAAACACTTGGCTGTTAACTGGGTAGATTAGGTAAGATTAATCTTGTTGGTGTGACTAAGGAATCTAATTCCCATTTTCAGTAGTGACTTAGGCACTTCCACCAGGTTGTTAGATTCATCAGGGACCTAAAAATACTGATAATGGTTTGCAGGCTGTTGCAGTAAGGGATGCCAGGCTGTTCAGCAGACTTTAGCTTCGTTAGTCACATAGCTGCCTGCATACTTTTGAAGAAGTTTCTTCCCTCTTTGGAGTCCCACATCTAAAAAGCCTTGCACACAAGCCTACATGCAGGTCCTCTATCCGAGGCAAGATGTAGGCTCTTTGGGGCAGAGCTGTTGATCTAATTTGTCTGAGCAATGCAGGACACATCATCTCCCAGGTCTGGACTTTGAACACCACCATGATACCAAGAACAGGAAAGAAAGAACAAGCCTGGCAGGTGCCAATGAAGTGTTGTGCATTTGTCACTCCCTTTTCAATTACATCCTCCCTTCTCTGTACACATCTGAGGAACTTCAGGCTTGGCTGGGAGCAGGCAGGACCCTGCCTCTAGACCTGTCTCCTGTTCTTCATATCTGCTCCAGCAGGAGTGCAGGAGATACTCCTCTCTCCACCTCACGTCCTTCTAAGGAGAAGGAATTGGGCTAAAACCAAGCAAGTCATGTGGAAAGCTGACAAGAACCTTTCATGAAGTTCCTCACCCTCCGCAGGATGAACAGCGGTGTCCTTGGCAGAAATGAGCCCAAAATGTATAAAAGGCAGCAACCCAGGCAATTGCCACAGCGGTGCCTCACGCCGTACAACAACTCCGAATACCTGGCCTCGTTAGCATCAAAGACCACACACTCTGAGGCAGATCATCTGCCTTTCTTTAGGTCTGGGATTATGCTGAGAGCGTCTCATTAGGTCTCCAGTGCTGCCAGACAAACCTGGCCGGCCCGCTCGGTGCAGCAGCAGAAGTGTCCTCTCCGTCTGTATTACTGCTGCACGAGCCAGCACGGCTGTATGAAATCCAAGGTGGCCTGACAGTAGTTTCCTCTGTCAGCAAAACCCCAAAGAAGAAAAAAAGAAAAAAGAAAATAAGAAAAAAGCTGCAGGAGGAGCAAGCATAGTGACAAGCTAGATAATCAGCTGCAATTCAAAGCAGGGAGAGTATCTGTTTATTCCCCTGATTTACCCATCGCATCTCAGAGCTTTCCGCTTTGCAACTCCCATCCCGATGCTCAGCAAGTAAATAAATACTCACAGAAATGAACTGCAAAAATTAGTCACCGCTAAACATTCTTGTTTTCTGCGAGCTCTTTTCAATCACCCCAGCAAAGCTGAAATTATCTTTATTAAGATAATTGCCTCACTGTAGCCAACTTAGTCTGTTGTCTGCAAAATGAAGAACGACCAAAGGAGCTGAATCTGCTCCATGCCACATCCCTGCGCCACGGTGGGAGCCCGACGGGCTCGCTGCACGCCGAGAGCGAGCCCTCCCCGCTGCGTGGCTGCCCAAAAAGGCTGACGACGTCCCTTCAGAGGCTGCTTTCAGCGCTCCCCCGCTGCTCCCTTTCCACAGCGCTCCGGCCGCGAAGGAAATATTAAGTGTGAAATATTACAAACCAAAGAAAATCTCACTTTAAAGGCAACACGTTCAGGAAAAGGAATAAAAACAATAATCGAGGGGCACAGCTAGGAAGATGGCTTTGAAGGGCTGGCGGCGTGCTTGCTAATACCGAACATTTCTACCTCTCTGTTGGAGCAGGGAGGGACAGAGCAGCCAGAAGGTCAGCGCTGAGTTGAGGAGTAACAGCCAGAGCACTTTATACTTGAAACAAGGCTTGGCAAAACTTTGGGAAATCAAGATTTTTGTCAGACTTTACAAACTATTTTTGTCATTGTTGTTGCTGGGCATTTAGAGACAAACTAATAGAGGCTGGGGGGAGAGGGATTGCTGTAATTTAACCCAAGGACCTATGTTCTCTCCGAGGCTCAGAGGAATGGATGACCCGCAGATCTTGCTTGTTGGCTTGTACACTGTGTAACATACCGTCCACTGCTGCCCATTTCCTCTCTGCCTTTTGTTTGTTTGGTTTTTTTTTTTTTAGGCAGGCTCCCTAGGCTGTGTTTTTGCTCTTTTTCCCCTATTTCAAAGATTTTCACTCTGTTGGATCTTTTCTCTCTGCTCTGAAGAGCTGTATTATACTGAGAAGGAGCCAAAAGCGCACAAGCTGACTGCAGTATCTAAAGCAAACTGGAAATCCTCCCGTCTAGACTTGCCTCTTTCAGGTGTCTGCTCCTTGGACCTGGTCCCAGGCACTGGCTTATTCTGCATCCATCACGTGGGCAGAGCAGTTTGTACCATTGTCCCCAAACCCACTGCAGCCACAACAAGGCAGGATGGTTTAAATAGTTTGAAGATTTGATGTTTGCCTCTCTGATGACCTAAGAGGAGGTGGGTGCCAAGCCACTGTGCTCAGTGCGAGCCTGGTGTCTTCTCCGACTGCTTCAGCTGAAGCTGCACAAGGGCTGTGGGCGGTGGCATTGCTCAAAGTCATCATGTTTCATGCTTGCAGATCAACAAGCTCCAATCTGCAAGGATGAGGTGGGAATGGGTTCATCTGGTGGCATTGGTCCTTTCTTCTGCCTTTGTGCCTGAGGACACTTATTAGGAGCAGGCAGCGCTGAACAGGGAGGCGCTGAGCTCCTGCAGACCCGGGGTTAAAAATAAGGGGAACCAAGAGATCTTGCTGCAATGTGCATCTACTGCTTCCAGACCGTCTCCTCTGCTGGCTCAGCGCTCTCCACAGGAACTGCTCATCATTAAACAGAAATGAATAACTAGTCCTTTTTTTTTTTTTTTTTCTGTCTTTCTTTTTTAATCCATTGCACAAGCACAGTCTGGAGAACATGTTCTGCAGCTGCTTGTGTGTCACCCATCTATTTTCTCGGTGCCCTGGAAACAATGGGGCCTGGTGTTCGCTATCGGAGGCCGGGGCGCAGCTCTGCCACGCCATCTGTTTGGGTCGGTGGGACAGTCACGCTCTCCTCCTCCCGCCTGGCACTCGAAAACGGAGTCAGACGAGGCGGCCGCAAGCATCCCACAGTGGGCTGGGGAGCAAGGGCTCCTTCCAGACCCCCACAGGAACCTTCTGCCTCCTGGGAAGCTGCAGTAGATGACTCGGTGTTGGCCAGGGCTCAATGACACCCACCAGAGGTTGGTCTCCAAGGCTCAGATGGTCGACACAAATGATTCATCAGGGAGCTAATAAAATAATCGATGCTGGGGAGAACACCCTCCAGTAATTGATAACTGGGCTCCTCCAGGTAACAGCTGGTGCTGACAAGTAATAATCGCCTGGCCAAGAAAAAATTGCCGCAGTGCGGATCACTGTCAAAGATGTCTGCTGTATGTGATAGATATCACCAGGGAGTCTCTCTCCGTCTCCTGTTTCACCAACAGGGAATGAATCCACTCTGCTGGAAACCCCCCGCCTGCTCCCCAATTACATCTACCGCAACTAGATAATTTTAGAGATTGCTCCCCAGCCACTACCTACCCTAAGCTTTGCAAACAAAAGTAATGATCACTGCTCCTTGTTTTATTACGGGTCTGCTGAGCTCAGAGACCTCAAAATACCACCTTGCAAATATTAATTCATGATGCTTCACGTTTGCCTCTGGTGTCAAGGAAACGTTCGCAACCATTTTCAGCTAATCATAAAAACAGAGGCTGTTCCTCGCTATTGTTCTCATAAAAAGTGCTCAGAAAAAGTTGGCTAGGTCATGTGCCACATTCATTGCAAATGTTGTCTTTAATTTATTTTTAAAAAGCATAACCACTCGCTCATATTTTTGTGTGCTATAAATCAGCTCTGTTTGAAAACTAGACAAAAAAGGTCACATTGGTTTAGCCTCTGGACTTTTCTTTTGTTTATCCACAGGTCTAGATAAACCATCGACTGCAAGGAGGGTTAAACACAACAAACCAGAGCGAAGTCATTCACCTGTTTAAATTAATTTACCCATGAATTCTCTTTGTGGCTCCCACAGCTGCAGGGCACTCCTGCACAGTAACCTTCCGTCTGTACGCTGCACCTGCCCCTATATCAAACACCTTGGGCAACCCCGGCCCCAGCTATTTAACCCAAATTCAGAGGGCAAAGGGGCAATTTCACCTTCAGTTGAAACATCTGGAATGCATCAAGCTGCCAGCAGTCCCCTTGCACTCTTAGCCCAAAGTGCTACATGTGATCATGTAGTTAGGGCCCGCTTCAACAAAAGCATCTAAACCTGAGCCTAATTTTAAGTTAACTTTGTGCCAAGTATTGTGCCGAGCAGGGGTGGGTGCTCGCGTGTCCTGCTAATAGAAACCACGTGCATGCAGACAGAGAAGCCTGTGACTTGCTTATTTTTCTAGCCCCTTGTCAATCATGTGTTTCCCTCTCTGCAAATTCCCTAGTGACAAACCCAGCACCCAAAACACATATATCCTTCACACTCATTTATTTATCATGCTAAGGCTCTAAATCTGTATTTGGTAAATCTCCTTTGCGAGGGAGCTGGGTCAGCGCTGCCAATATTATAATGCAGCCTAATCATTTATCAGTTCTCCCCTTCACACCATTATTCCTCGTCTAACAGCTCCGGCTTTTGGCTCTGAATACTAATGTCAAGGGCTCATCAGTATGCTGGAGGGCTGCATGTGCATCTCAGCCACGCACACGGATAGCATGAAACCCGTGGAGGGCATAATGAAAATTCACACGCAGCTCCATAATACCATCAGCATACTTCAGAGCCTCTTACCTATCACTGGCATAAAGAGCTGGCCCCAGATGTCCCATGGGTTTGGCCCTGCCACGCTCATCACCCCAGACACAGACAAGTCTCTTTTGTGAAATGCAAGTGAGTTGCCCAGGAAAAAAATAAGTCTTTTCTAGGCTGGCTCTACCTTTCCCATTTTTTATGCAAACCTTTCATTTACACAGCTTCTCCTGCTGTCGCACTGAAAGCATGACCTTCAGCAAAAATGCTTTGCTCTTCTTAAGGGACCTAGGAAGCTCCTGAAAGCACAGAAAGCCACGCAGGGAACTGCAGGAGATCCGTAGCCCTGTGGGGTGTGAGACGGGATACAAAGCAAGCCAGTAACCACCTTGTCTGAACCAGCGGGGTCCACCATTTGCTTCTCCAAGAATGGCATTTGTCTGAATTCCCGATTTTTATTACTGTATTTCTACTCCTTGTGGCATCTCCCTGGCCAGGCAAAAGGTCCATGCTGTGGCAGAAGCCCTGCAAGTGTCACCTCTACCCAGGAGCAAGGGGGCTGGTGGGCTCCTTCCCTTCGCTGTATTTCTGGGTTTGCTCCGTAGCACTGAGTATTGACACAGCATCTCTGATGCAAATGGCACGCTGATGTCTGCCGGATCCTGTCAGAGAGGTAGATCCTGCCCACATGGAGAAGCTATAAAAGTCTAATCCAACCTGCCCATTCTTAACCAGTAAGCAGTGAACCTGGCTTGGGGTGGAGTGGCAGCCTCGGGTCTGTAAGGAAGGACACCTGCAAGTCCCGTCCTGTTTCTCCTTAGGCAGATGCAACAGTCTTAACCCCATCCACCCCCCTGATTCATGTGCTCAGGACTCTCATAATGATTATATTATAGAAATAATGGAGAGGAGAGCAAAACCCCATGTTCCCCGTAACCACAGAGGGACAGATGATCCCTGCCCCAAAGCACTTACGGCTGGGCGAGAGAGAAAAGCCAGGATAGAAACAAAGAGGGAAAAGATGTACCTAAAATCACCCAGCAAGGTAGCGGCAGCGCTGAGAACGGATCCAGCTCCCAACCCTGGGCTCAGCACCCTACTGACCTGCACATGTCACTTCTCTTCTCAGCAGCGTTCAGAAAAGAAACCAAATGTAACATAGAAATAAAACACGAGGCTGGTTAGCCATCTCCTTACATCTCTCTGTACTAAGTGTCTGCTCCAGTGTCGGGGCTCTCTCTTTTCATCCAGACATACAATATACCCACTGTTATCCCCTCTGACTCTGGAGTCGCATGACCCAACCATGAAAAAATGGTTCTGATTCATTTACATTAAAGATGTGGATATTTTAAGGGGCATAGAAGACCTTCTCTTGTGATTGTTAAATGTCCACAGTGAAGCACACAGAGCATAAGCCACTGGGTCATGAAATGTAGCATTTCTTTCATTCTTATCTCCTTTCTCCAGCTTGCCAGAACACTGCAAGCCATCATATTGATACATAAGCAGCAAAATCTCCCTCCCAGAATGGAAAAAAAATTTCACCTTTAAACAACATTGGCTTTTGCCTGTGAAACGCATGGCTACAACTGCAGGAAACATGACACAGGTTATTACAAATATTAAATATGAGCAACCAAAGGATAACAAGAAAGTGCAGCCGTGAGCATCGTCTCAATAATTTGCGGCAAGCTGTGTGGTGCTATAGGGAAGCGAACATAGCTGGCACGCGAATGCACAGATCTGAGTCTTCCGGGCAAGCCAAATTGAAATCAAATAGGATGGAGAAAACAGGTTGTTCTGCAACCAGACTTCAAACTCAGTTCCTCAATTAGCTTTCTGATGAAGCATTGCCTTTACTTTGAACCCACTCCTGGGGGAACCGGCATACAGCTGATGTATCCTATGTGCAGACCACTCTCATGTGCTGGAAATACCTATTTACAAGCAAGGCAGATCAGAGGAAGAAAATTACTCTGCCTCCCAGCCCTGCCGGTTCACCTCTGCCTCCCACTCACCGTGCAAAGCCTCTGGCCCCACTTTTCTTGCACTATGCCCGAGCAGTCAGCAAAGGCTTCGCTGCCACAAGTGCTGTCTGGGTCAAGGGATCGCTCCCCTCAAACCCCCCCCCCACATCCCACGGACCTTGGGGAAAACAGGCATCTGGTCTTGAAAGTCAACGGCAGGCACTAAAAAGACCTTCAGGAGGGGTGTCTGGCTGACAGCAGAACCGGCGGCTGCGGGAGGCGCAGCAAATCACAGCAGCAGAGGGACCTGTCCCCAGGCTGGGACATAAGGGACCTCAGGGACCCATTATTGGGACCTAATAATATAATAACCATGCACGGAGCCATCAGCCCTGTGTTCTGCCAGCCATCATGCACTGCAGCCTATCTTTATTAATCAGCCTCTACTTCCCCCTTTGTAAAGGAAGAGGAGGAGGAGGAGAGTTTCTAGCCCATTCCCACATCTTAGAGAAGAAATCCTATATTGTTAATATGGTCATCCGTCATGCTGCCTGCTCTGTAAGAAATGCACTCCTTTTAACACAGAAATCAATCCTTTCCTATGGAAAGGAAACAAATGTAATCACTACTAAGTATCGCTAGTCCTTCTTGGCTTGTGTATCTGGGGCCCTGAACATCTTAATATTCTTCATGGATTTTCAGTGCTGACCAAAAGTTGAACTCACTGCAAGTGAAATTTCTGGAGGAAGCTGGGAGTGTCCCATCTGAAAGCTATAAAGAGCTCCATGAAAAACAACAGAAAACACTCATACGCCTGCAACAGATTTATTTGTTGGATTAAGGAAGTCTTCTCTAAAGTTGCATTTTATGTCCCAAACTCGGGAAAGCATCCCCAATCAGGATATCACTCAAACACATGATTAATTTTAAAGCAAACATGCCAAATACACAATCTGTTGGCCAGCTCCCACCTGCACGATACATTCACCATGCGCTATGTGTCATATTCTCCAGAACTGTATTTTCATTCCATAAATTATTTTTCTTGCATTCCTGACTGCAAAGACCAGCAACCTGGTGCAACCAGTGCAGCAGCATCTGTCTGGCTGTGTGGGCAACCAGCAGCAATGATGCTGAGGGGCAAATACCGCGGACCCCCTCCTTTCAGATGGAAGTCAGAAGTCATCCTTCCCATCCCACACAGTGAATCTGGCTCAGTACTTCCAAATTCCTGCTTTGTCCCCCGCCATGGTTCCTCTGGATCTCAGAGAGGATCTCACTCCTACCAACCTCCCTGGGCTCACCACAGTGTCCTGCTCACTGCGAGCACCCCAGTCCATGCACTGTGCTCACAGGGGAATTTGGCTGCAAATTCTCCATCTGCAGCATAGCTTAAATGTCTTTCCTGAATGAAGACCCCAAAAAAAGAAGAATTTAACCAGCTATCTAAAGAAAGAAAGAAGGAATGCAGAGAATGAACCTACCAACATCAAAACCCAGGAAGCTGCCTTTTAGCCACCAAGACAATCTCGCTGATAGACTTGATTTTTCTCACCCCAGCCGGGAGTAATGTTTTCTTTCTTTTTTTTTTTTTTCCCTTTGCTGAATGTGTTCATTCTACGGAGGGTTTTTTTTTTTTTTTGAAAAAAGACAACAGACATTCATGGCTCCCAGCTGTCAAAAGCCACAAAATGCCTGAGGCTGTCTGTCTTCTTGCAAATGCTGAAGCCATTTTCCTGTAGTGTATGTTCTCATTAATCAAGTTTCAGACTCGACTCCGTCTGTATC